CAGATCATAGCACAGATGTCACCTTCTTGGAGACATCTCCTCTGTTCACCGCATCCAAAGTAGACTCCGTGTTCCCTGCTACTCTCTATGATGTGCCCTGTTTATTTCCACCCAGCACATATCACTTTCTGGAAATATGCCTTGGGCATTCCTTCCTTTGCCATATATTGCCTGTCTGCCCCTCTGCCATGTTCCCTACAGACCCCCCCAGCTCCTAGTCCTGTTCTTGGCAATAAAGAGGGCATGAAGAAATATTTCCTAAGCTCGTATCCACATCTTTGTTTTCATGCGCAACATGAGGCTACCAAGCGGAGAGGAAATGGCCCTCCTCGGCAGTCAGGTGCCCATCCACTTTCCTGTCCAGGTGCTGGTGTGTGAACTAATTCCTGGCACACACTGTATCAACAACTGTGGGGACAAACTGTGTCTTCTACATCCCTGATGTCTGAGGCCTGTCCTCTGTATAGATATTTATCAAGCGATCATTTGTGCAAATCAAGGAGAAGGAGGAGAAGGAGGAAGGTGATGCAGCGATAATAAGCTTTGTTTGTGCACCAGTCTCAGAGATTACTTGGATTCTATCAGTCTGCCAATCGTCTGGCAGCTGGGTGTTGCGGAAATGCAGATCTCTAAGGCAAAGTCCTTACCTTGAAGAATTTGTCATCCAAACAGAGAAGCCAAGTAGAATTGAAGATTACAGCCCGGGACGGGACAGGGCACCAAGTCAGACAGGCTTGAATTCAAACTCCAGCTCTGTCATTGCTGCTGTGCCTCTTTTGCCCTTGCATTTGGATGACGATGGCCATTCTCCCCTCCAGGGTGGTGAGAGCACTGCTCAGCACACGGGGTCCTCCCAGCAAGCACCCCGGTTCTAACTGTAACCGGCCCATAGAGCAGTGGCCTGGTACCCCAGCCTTGTTCAAATGGTCCAGCAGTAATCCCTAAGCGAACGCACCCAGCCTCTTCTTACCGTTTGTCCTGAACGCTCTCATGGCGGGACACGGACGCTCTCCTCACAGCCAGACATTTTACTAAAAACCTGGCCACAAAACATCAGCCCCATAAAACCTCGCCAAAGTTACATTTCAAAAGAGAGCTCTTACCTTTTAGAGATACATATTAATACTTGCAAGTGAAATGGAGCAACGTCAAGGACTGTCTTCAAAATAATCCGGTGTGAAAGGGCGATGTGAGAGAAAAATGGTGGGATGTGTGGCCAGAAGGCAGAGACTGTTCTGGCTGTGAGCTGAGCACCGGGGACCTGAAACTGCGTTAATCTTTGTGTTTTTATTTGTGTTTGAAATTTCTCATAATGAAAAGTGCATTTCAAAAGCTTTCTAAAGAACCTCTTTAGAAAAATACTCTGATTTCCCTATTTCATAGGTTAAGATGAGACTCAGATTATTCGTCCAAGTTCAGCTTGTTTAGCGACAATCACAATTCAGACTCAACTAAGTGTGAATTCAGAACGCAGATTGTGTCCGTGACACCAATCATTAAAAATAAAAACTATAGGAAAACAAAGTGGTCACAAAAAATATGTTTAGTTGAATAACTAACAAGAATGGTTCTAAGAAATATAAACTAGCCAAGCATGGCAGCACATACCTATAATCTCAGAACTCAGGGGGCTGAGGCAGGAGCACCACTGCAAGTATAAGGCCATCCTGAACTACAAAGTGAGACTGTAAGTGAGAACACACACGCGCACACACACACACACACACACACACACACACGCGCGCGCGCGCGCGCGTGCGCGCGCACACATTCTATTTTTGAATCATCAGTTTGAGGACCCTGTTTTTCTTTCTCCATTTTCCTTCTCCGGGCTTCTCTTTCTCATGAGATCAGGGTTTCGGAGGTTGGTAATAAGCACACCACACAGGTGTGTCCTATCTGACCAACCAGGCTGGCGGCTCTCACTGTGTCTTCCAGGGTCCCGGCCCAGGCCTGGGCCCCACGTGGACACTCCGCACAGGCAGCTTGGGATTCCTCGGAGACCTCAACCTGGTTCAAATCCAGCCTGCCCCTTGCTAGCTGTTGACCCTGAGCAAGTCACTCGCCTACTCTGACCCCATGGGGCCCTGGCATCATTTGGAGGACAGAGAGTGTTTCCCCATCACCTCTTCTGAACAGAGCAGCATTTGGGCGTCAACCCCGCCCCTGCAAAACCCTTGAACACTGAATGAGTGGAACTTGACTTAAGGCTGGGGCTGAGTCTTCCCCGCACCCTCTGCATCGTAGGGTTCAGAGCAGAAGGTGAATGGCTGGTAAGATGCATGTCCATGACAGTGACAGCCCCAGCATCCTCAACTATGCCTCTGCCACCAGACAGCTCCTCTTTCCCAAGGAACATACAGCGGGGCTCACCTCTGTCCTCAGACACATTTTCTGGGAGACCCGGTCCCTAGCAGGAGTCCTTAGAGAAGTCACCTTTTGTTTAGTGTGAGGCAGCAACCAAATGAAAAATGCATTACAGTCTGATGGTTTTGCCACACACCCAGGATTTCCTCTCTGGGGGCCGCCTGAGGATGCCTTCAGGAGAGGTGACAAGCCCTCTGCTGGTAAGTCTGCCTGCTTTTCTCCAGTGAGCACATGAAAAAAAAAGAAGAAGAAGAAGAAGGCAGTTACTGCCCCCAGCTGGCAGAAATCAGAAACAGGGGACTCCTGGCTGAAGAACCCAGAGAAGAGGCAACAGCCCAAACCTACACAACAAACAGTAGGTTTAATGAGCACCTACTGTGTGCTAAGCTCCTTTCATTTGCCATCTCATTTAAGCCTGATAGCCACCTCAGAAGACCCCATTCCACAGAGGAGAGAACTGAGGCTCCAAGAAGTTGGCAGCTCCGGTCAAGGTCATTCAGTTATTCAGTAGCAAAACCACAGTCCCAAAGCCCCGACCCTATATTCCAGCTGAGGGAGAAGAAGGAAAAGAGTGAAAACATTGAGCATAGTCTCTGTCCCACATCTACAGAGTAAATGATGATCGCTCAAAACATGGAAGCCCCCCCCGGACAGTGTGGCATACACCTGTAATCCCAGCACTCTGGGAGGCTGAGGCAGGTGGATCTCAAGTTCAAGGCCAGCCTGGGCAACTTAGCAAGACCTTGTCACAAAATATGAAAGGCTGGGAATGGGTATGAAGGCCCTTGGTTCAACCTGTAATATCATCCCAAAAAGTGTACGAGCCCTAATGGCCACAGTGCTGGTGTGTGCAGATGGGACCTTTGGTACCGGTAACTGGGGCTGGATGAGGTCATGAGAGTGGGCCCTCATTAGAAAGTTAGTGCCCTTATAAGAAGGGACGTCAGCATGTGAAGACACAGTGAGAGAGTCTGCCTGCATACCAAGAAACCGCATCGGCCAGCACCTCGATCTTGAACTTCAAGCCCCCAGAACCATGGGGAATGAACCTCCGGTTAAGCCACCCAGTCAGTGGCATTTTGTTTGGTAGACAGAGCTGGCTTCGACAGCAGATATCGTAGCTCCCCTAGGAGAGCAGCCACCCGCTACCCAAATCTGACAGTGCTCCATGCACGCGCTGCCCTAAGGATGTTGGCTGGACCACTTCGCTTAATTCGCCTCCACAGTAGCTCGCAGAAGCTGGGGATTTAGCTCAGTGTTTCCGCCGCCTGCCTTGCAAGCGCGAGGACCCAAGTTCAATCCCCAGTACCAAAAAACAAAACAAAAAAAACATAGTAAGTACCACGTGTGTCCTCAGTTGAGACTCAGGCATGGGAAGTAGATGACCATCCAGGAGCTCTCCTCTCGCAGCCCCTCCCTTCAGCTCCCTACACCCCAGCCTCCGATTCCATTGCTCCTGTTCCCGCAGCCTCAGTCCCAAGCACCTGCCAACCCTGCTAACTCTTCTTGAGCTTGATACATTTTGGAAGGCATCAGCCACTTGCCACTGGTGTGTCGGTGACTGAAGACAAGAGGAGCGACGAGTCCTGTGGCTTCACTTTCCTCCTTCCTCTCTGTCCCCTAAACCAGGCTGTAGTCTTGGCACTGCCCTCCTCAGCCCTTGCCCTGCCTCTCCGGCCTCCTCCCAGCTCCTGTCCACCTAACAGGCAGAGGAGCTCCAGCCAAAGGGTGCCACCCTGCACACAGCCCCAAGGGTGCCCACAGCCACAGGACAGCATCCCAGGCCCCTGCAGTTCCTGGCATAATGCATCCCCTCCAGCCTAGTCCTCAGAGCTGCACTGAACTACGGCCCGTCATTAGTATCCAGCCCACCCTTCAAGCTGGGGTGCACAGTGGCTAAGAATGCAGGTTTTAAAAGACAGATGATGGGAAACAGGGAGATAGACCTTCTGGAGATGGGAAGAGGATCAAGAGAGGAAGAGAAGGGAAGGGAAGAAGTAAAAATCAGTAAGATGCAACATGTATATGCACCAACTCTCAACCATGACTGTTCATCATGTATTACAGACATATGTTTTTAAAAAGAAAGAAAGAAAAAAGGATTCAGTGTCTTACCGGGCATCATGACACACAGCTATAATCCCAGCCCTCTGGGGGCTTAGGCAGGTGGATCACAAACTCAAGCCCAGCCTGGGCAACTTAGCAATTAAGTGAGATCCTGTCTCAAATTTTTAATTTATTTTTTAAAGGGCAAAGAATGTAATTCAGTGTAAAGGCTTTGAGGTTCAATTCCCAGTACCAAAGCGGGGGAGCAGGTTATGAATCAGAATACCTGGGTTCACATCCCAGCTCTGCCACTTACCAGCTGTGTGACATTAACCCAGTCACTGAACCTCTCTGGGCCCCACTTCCCTCATCTTTAAATTAGAGATAGTAAGTGTACCTTTGCAAGATAATATGAAACATTTTGTGTAGCTCCTGGCTTATTTAGTATAATTCCTGGCATGTAATACCTGGATTACTAAATACATTAAGCATTTAGTACAATGCTAATAGGTGTCAGGTAGCACTTTTTGTTGTTGTTGTTGTTGTTGTTGTTGTGCAATGATTTATTCTGCACAGAGGAGAGGGGCTCAGTCCTTCTTGGCAGCTGCTTTCCTCATGGTGGCCAGCACATTGCTCAGCTCCTCACACTTCCTCTTGGCTCGGACGTGTGTCCCCACCCTTTTCTTGATGAACTCCAGGGCTCGTTTGTCCTTGGACACCTTGAGCAGCTCCATGGCACGCCACTCATAGCAGGTGAAGCCGCACACCTCCCAAATCATGTCCCACACAAACTTGGTGTGCTTGGTGAGGCACCCACAGCAGCGGCTGTGCCTCAGTTTGCTCACATTCTTTGTCACCTTGTGGCCTTTACTGAGGCCCATGGCCATGGGGTAGAGCCATGGCTGCTGCTCTTCAGTGGCTGCTGCAGCCCAGGTAGTACTTTTAATTAAATACTGAACCACCATTTCTGCTATGGAAAGGGTAGTACAGCTCATCAAATGTTCCATTTGTTCCCTAATATTTCTCAGGCCCTTGTAGACACCCAAGACCTTGTGGCTGGTGACAGGAGAGCGGAAGTGTCTGGCAGAGTGTGTGGGCCAGAGAACAGTGGCCAGACTGTTGCTGGGGGCCCCAGAGAGGAGAGGGCAGCACCTATACTCACAGCTGGAGTGGTGGATAGAGTCACGGAGATGTACACAGAGCAGCCTTGATGGATCTGAAAAGCAGAACCCTGGAGGAGGCAGTAAGAACAGGTTGAGGGTGACAACCCAGCGCCACCAATACAAAATAGCACGGCACATCTACTGAGAGGTTCACAAGCAGAAGCAGCTGTGCCCAACCCAGTAGACTGGTTTCCTATTGTGGGAAGAAACTAAGACCAACCAAATGAGAGAAGCAGAGACTTCACCAGAGCTGCCTGCAGCAAGTGAGTCAGCCTCCATCGCCTGCATTTGGCAGAGACTCCAAAGCAGGCAGAGGAGTGGGAAAGCTAAAGTGTGGAAAGAAGGGATGGTTGCTGGTGCGCCTTGGCTGGGGAAGCTGTAGGTAACTGAATAATAGTGAAGCATCCTGTGCAGGTAGTCTTTGGATTTCTATGGTTGTTCCTACTTTGGAAGCAGGGGCAAAAATGAGGGCAATACCAGTTATTAACCAAGCACTGGCAGTTTTGGCCAATTGTTCCAGGGGTTATCGTTTGACTTTCTGGGGTGTTACCAGAGAGAGCAGGCTAACATTCTACTACTATCCTAACTCCTATATACTGATGGGGGCTGATTTCCTGGGCTGGTTGTGGCAGGCTATATTTCTGAGTTCTGTTTTAACAATCAGACTGGCCACTGACCATCTGTATATTAATCTCTCACCATGGGAGAGGGGCTAGAAATGGGTTAAAGAAGGAAGAGAAAAAAGAACAAGGAGAGAAAAGTTCTGCATGTCCCCAGGCTAAGAACTGGTGAGTATGAGTCACTCAACTCTCTCTTCCCACGTTGTGGGTTCTATAATGAACCCATAGTATGGGCTTCAGAGCAGCGGTTCACCACCTTGGCTACATGTTAAAATCACCTAAAATCCTGAGGCACTTTCTCTAATTCAATATTTGCACCTCTTTTCTACCATAGTGACAAGTGGCTTGCAGTAACATCAGGATACTAACTCTAGTCCACAGTGCACACACTGCTACTACCAACAACATCACCAGAAACTCTCCTAAGGCAAGTTTATGATTTACTTGAGGTTCTTTTCATTTTGAAAATACATCCTTTTAAGAGGGGGTAGTCATAGGCCTAAAATTATTTCCACTGTTTGTGTGGTTCGTACCACAGATTCCCATTGGTTTTTGTTTGTTTTCAAGGATAAGATTGCTTTTCCCATCATTTTTATCTTTTAATTTTAAATTATTTTTAGTGGTACTAGAGGTTGAACTCAGGGTCTTGCACATGGCTGGCAAATGTTCTACCACTGAGCTGTACTCCTAGCCCTAATTATTAAAAAAAATTCTGATTCAGTATGTCATTTACATGGTTTAAAAGTCAAACCTATTAAAAATGGTTTGTTCAGGGGGCTGGGGATTTAGCTCAGTGGTTCCAGAGCCTGCCTCACAAGCACAAGGAGCCAAGTTCAATCCCCAGTATCCCCTCAAAAGAATTGGTTTGTTTGGGCCAGGGATTTAACTCAGTGGCGCCACACCTGGCTCACAAGTGCATGGTCCTAAATTCAATCCCTGGTACCAAAAAAATTTAAAAAACCAAAAAAAACAAAGAACTGGCTCTTTCATCCCATATTTTCTCCACGATCATTACTCCCATATGCATGCATTTTGATCATCTCTGGTTTGTTCTTCCCATGTTCCATTTTTTAGCCAAAAAGAACACAAAAGGTAGGAGCTTGTACTTGATATACTTTGGAAACTACTCCATCTAGGTTCATGGACATCCTCCTTGATCTATTATATAAAATAATGTTTAATTACACAAGTAATTTTTCTTTTCTTTGATTTTTAAAAAAGTTAAACATTGCAAGTAAGGACGAAGCCCCTTCGCTCCAGCTTCTCCAGCTTCCTGCTCCCTCCTGTGGCCCTGCCAGAGACTGTTGCTTGTTAAAGCTTGTATCCGGAAGGTTCTCTAAAGACCTGTGTGTTAAATTCTCAGTCCTCAGCCTGGTGCTACTGAAAAGCAGTGGAAACTTTAAGAGGTGGGGCCTAGTGAGAACCCTAGGTCACTGGGGGATGTGCTCTCAAAGGGGGTTGTGTTACCTGGTTCTTTCCTCTCCTTCTCTTCCTAGCCATGAAGTGAGCAGTTTTGCTCCACCCTATGGTCTGTCCATGACATATTGCCTCACATCTGGGTCAACAGACCCTACACTAAAACCTCCAAAACTACGAGTCAAAACAAACTTTTCCTCTTCTTAAGTTATTTATTATTGGTACAGTAATGGAAAGCTGACTAATTCACGATCCAGATCTTTCAATGAACACATATTTACCTTTGTGCACACTTGGAGTTCAGTTCACAGAAGGTATCACATTATAATATCATTCTACAGCCAAGCTTTCTTTACTCAACAATGTGTGAAGATCCAGCAGTGTTGCAAGGTCACAACCTACCTGGAGAAAGCCTAGACATTCTTTAAGGTTCTATTCAAATGTTTCCCTCTCTTAAAGCCTGTCACAGTGCCACAAGACTGAAGTCATTCTTCCTAGCTCTGGGATCCTGATGCTCATGGCTTTTTTCTGTTGCTATAACAGAATACCTGATACTGGATAATTTGCAAAGGGAAGACATTTATTGAGTGAACAGTTCTGGAGGCTGAGAAGTCCCTGCCCAGTTGGTCACATCCCATGAGAGCCTCATGTGGTGTTTCACCATAATTGGAAAATCTGATGTGGAAAATCTGAACGGTGAGCAGATACTTATGGAAGAGACAAGCACAAGTTTCTAGGATTACTTGATAACAACCTGCTCTTATGATAACCAGCACATTCCCATAAATTCCCTTAAGAAAAGAATTAATCATTCTTAATCATGTCTCAGAGGCCCCAACTTCCAATAAGTTCCCCATGGCAAATAGATTTTAACATGAGTTTGAGATAGGACCAACCATATTCAAACTGTAGCAATATATTAATATGTTCACAATGTTAACAGGGTGTAATATAAGATGTATGGTGAATCCTACAACAGGTACCTGGGTGAATATGAACACTTTTGAGAGCAAAGCCCATGTCTTCATTCAACAAACATTAACTGCAGACCTCCGAGGTGCTAGACCCTGAGCTGGGTGCTAGGCATAGAGTGGAGGAAAAGGCAGTGCAGCCTACTGATCCATTTTGAATCTAGTATGGAGTTAGTGATTAATGGCATGTTTTCTGTAGCCAAACTGCCTGGATATGGATCCTAGCTCTGCCACTTACAAGCTATGACCTTGTTATTCTTGTCTCTATTTAAAATGGTGGTAATTTGCTCATCATAGATTTTTTGCATTAATGTTGATGTTTTAAAAAAAATTGCATTAACATATTATTTTTCTTGATTACTGAGGCTTTTTTCTCACTCCATTTAAATTTAGCATCTGAGATGAGTGCATCACATGGCTCACCATCCTGCCATCCCTGCCTTGTGCAACTATTTACATCCTTCTCAGTGTTGTTGAGAAGATTAAACAAACAGGTGTATGTGCAGAACGTAGGTCAGAGATCATCTGATGCTAGGTTTTAGCTGTCATTATGATGACCATTGTGCCAGGCACACAAAAGGCAGCTTGTTAACGTCAGCTAATCAATGAATGGTACATTAGCTACTGCATGCTTGGTATTTAACTTATCACCTCTTATGAGCAGAATTTTTGCATAATTTTCTGGGAAATGTACTACTCTTTGTAGTTCTCTTTGCCGCACAATGATTTGTTTGGAACATAAACTCGAGCTTGCTTGCTTTTTTTTTTTTTTGATACCGGGGATTGAATTCGAGTCCTTGCGCTTGCAAGGCAGGCCACCGAACCGCTGAGCTAAATCCCCAGCCCCTCAAGCTTTCTTTTATGAAAGATTTAGAAGTTCCTCACTCCAACCATTTCAACATTCTTTCAGAACTCCATTCATCTTTGCCCATGATCACATCTACTGCTCTCTCCTGCAAGCTCTGCATGGCTCCAGAATTCCTTCCTAGACCTGAGTTACAAATGTGTCTCTGTTACCTGTCTTCATGGCCTTCATTGCTTGTTTTCCTCTCACATTCAATCTACTAATTCAAAGAGAACACTATAGAAGTGGTCTTTTTAAGACACCTCCTTGTCAGTACAAATCCAAGGAGTGCTTCCCTGGTAGTCCTTCCTCCTTCCTTACTTCTGATCTTCTAACTCATAGCCATCTATCTTTCAGCTCTTCGTTCAATTTTGTTCCAGCTCCTTCTGGGGCCAGCAGAATACAGCTCAGTTAATAACCTTGCTCTAACTGGACTGTTCCTTATCCTTTCTTGCTCTGTAGCATATTCCTTCCCCTTCACTTTCCATATGACTTATTCTTACTTTCTATTGTGTATCTTGCATTCTGTGCCTCCTGGTCTATACAATTCAAAGCAACAAATATCGATCTTCATTTCCATTTAGGACTGCCCAGTTATCCCCAGTTCCATTTAATGCATCCATTGGTAAAGCTTCTGTCTTCCAGAATTCATTTTCCTTATAATTAACTTCACAATAAGGGCCCATTGCCACAATCAATCATCATCTTCCCTGGCTCTGCTCCCAGGCAGCTCTTCTACTCTGGCCTTTGTCCTCAGATCTTCCTGCATGTCTCAGTGCCTGCAGGAACTTCCAAGTCTGTCCTTTACTCTGCTGAGAAAAAAAATGGCCCAAGGATGACCAGACACCAGTAAACCAAGAAACCCTTGCACTCAGGGACACAGGTAGAAATCCCAACAACTTCTTCATGGCAATATGATCACATTTATTGATGTTATTGTTTGGAGGTTCTAGCAGGGGAGCATAGCTACTTCTCTATCCCAATGATCCTGCTCTATAAGGGGTGGTCGTCCTCTTCAACCTAGCACACAGCTCCAGAAGGGACACACATGGAGGGAGGGAGGGAAAGGAAGCCCTCCAGCCAGCCAGATCAGCTAAATCAACCCTGATGGTCAATGAAATGACAGATCACAGCCAGATTGTCCTCACATCCTGATGTAAATGTTAATTGTGATATATCAACCTGACTTGGGTAAGAATGGCCTGCCTAGCAGATCAGTAAACCTCTGGGTGTGTCTTTGGATAATAGATATGTAGGCCAGCAAACTGAGGGGAGCAGACCCACCCTCGAAGCAGGTGGTAACAATTAATTGGCTTGTAACTTGCATGGAATAAAAACAGAAAGAAGAAGGAAGTATTCCTTTTCTGGAGGGCCTCCCGTCTGCACCATTGCCTTCAGACATTGGTCTGTAGTTCCTTTGGTCATCCAGCATAGACCCTTCAGCCTTTCAATGCAGACTCTTCAGCCTTTCATGACAGATGCACACTGGTAACTCTACAGTGAGCTTTCAGGCCTTAAAATTTCCACTGCTAGTGGATCCTCCAGCTCTGTGTATCATGAGGGTGGCCATTTTGGATTCTTCTGCCTGTGATCCCACAGATGACTACTATGGCTCTTCTGCTTCTGATCCTGTAAGCCTACCTAATGAACCCACCTAATAACTGTACATGGAGGCGCACACCTGTAAACCCAGCACTTGAGAGGCACAGGCAGGAGAATCACCATGAGTTCAAGGCCAGCCTGGGCTACATAGTGAATTTAGGGTCAGTCTGAACTACATAGTGAGACCCTGTCTCAAAAATAATTTCTACCTATTAAATATATATATATGTGATTATATATTTTTTTCTATTGATTCTGTTCCTCTAGAGAACCCTAATTAATACAGTTGATTTCTTCCTGGGCCCAAGGTCTATTTTGAAGGTTGGCTTTGGGTTTGGGTTTGGTTTTTTCATTTCTGAGTAGCTTTCCTTTTCTTTTAACATAAACTTGTGTTATTCACATGTTGATATTATTGAATTGTGGTCAACAGAGGCGGTGTATTAGGGTTCTCTAGAGGAGCAGAATCAACAGAAAAAAAATATATATGCAAGAGAAGTTATTAGATAGGCTTGCAGGATCAGAGGTGGAGAGTCTACAATGGCCATCTGCATGCTGGAGACTCAGAGGATCCAGTGCCCATTCAGTCTAAGAAGCAGGAAGCCCCAAAACAGGAGGGACAGTCTAAGACTTAAAGCCTAGACATTCCCTGGAGGGTCACTGATATGAGTCCACACTGAAAGGCTAAAGAAACTGGAGTCTGATGTCCATAGTGGATGGCATTAGCAAAAGACTTGCTCAAGCAGTAATGGAGCTTTTCAAAGTGCTGGCCAACTTCTTTCTCCTCTCATTTCGTTGAGCTGTAAGCCTACTGGATCATGCCACCCATAATCAGTGGGGACTTTCTCCTTCAGTTTCCTGGCTCCCATGCTAATCATCTCTGAAAATATTCCACAGGCACACACAGAAGCACATTTACTAATCTTCTAGGCATTCTCCATCCAATCAAGTTAACCACCACATGATTAATGATCACAAATGGACAATATATGTTCTATCTTTTGTGTTTAATTCAAGTGTTCTTAGTGGCATTTGGGTAGTATCCATCTTTGTATTTGGTCCAGGAGCACTGCAAAGAAGACTGACTCTGCAAAATACAAGATCGAGTGTGTAACCATAAACTCAACCTTCTAGTTCTAATGGTAACAACAGGCCTCATCTATTGAGGGATTCTGTGTGTCCAGCCTTTTTCACTGATTGAGCTAGTTTATGATTAAAGTCTTCCCTATCAGTGATTCTTCACTTGGGATTCATGGATCTACTAGAGGATGTAACAGATGCCTAGTTATGTACAAAATACTAATGTACATGAAGGTGGACATTGAGGCCTAAGGAGCAATGGTTCATTGAGCCTCTTAGTTTCTCTAAAATGGTCACGAACCCTTGCTCTTTGTCTGTATTTATTGTCTACTTGTCCTAATTGAAAAATGAGATGAGAGTTTAGTATATCCTTCCTCTTTTAGGCTTATTTCTATTTCTTCTGTTTGATCTATTCTGTTGCATCTTGGTTTTCCCAATTATATTTGACCATGAAGCAAAAATTCCAGCACTAATATAATTTTCAATGTATGTAGAAGAAATATGTAAGACTATTACAAGTGGGGGAAGGTAGGAGACATAAAGGAAGATTAGGTCTTGATTCTTAACTTGAGCTTTAAGATGTTGATGCCAGTAGGCTTGATAAGTTCTGTATATATAATTTAATACCTGTAGCAATCACTAAAATAGTTATACAAAGACATAACTGAAGACTTTTCCAACAAATGGTGCTGGGGCAACTGCATAGTAACATGCAAAAGAATGATGTTGGACTCTTACATCGAATTACAAAATTAACTCAAAATGCATCAAAGACCTAAATGTAAGAAGTAAAACTATAAGACTTTTAAAACAAAATGGAAGGATAAATCTGCATTTCTTTGGATTTGGCAATTGATCGTTAAATAAGACTTCACAAAGCAGCAACAAAAGAGTAAATAGATAAACTGGATTTCATCAAAATTTTAAATTTTGTACTCCAAAGGATGCTATTAAGAAAGTAAATGGACAACACACAGAATGTGAGGAAATACTTGAAAGTCATAATATAATAAAAGACCTGTATTTAGGACATATAAAGAATCCTTACAGGGCCGGGGATTTAGCTCAGTGGTTCTGCTGCCTTCCTTGCAAGCACAGGTCTTGATCCCTGGTACAAAAAAAAAAAAAAAAGAAGCTTTACACTGACAAAAATACAAATAACCCAATTCAAAAACTGGCAAAGGATCTTAATAAACATTTATCTGAGATGATATATAAATGGCCAACAAACACAAGAAAAGATGCTGAACATAACTAGTTACTGGAGAAATGGAAATTAAAACCCAAATTATATACCACTTCATACCCATTAGGATGGTCATTAAAAATATCAAATGGGGGCTGGGAATTTAGCTCAGTGGCACTGTGCTTGCCCAGTACAAAAAACAAAAACAAAAAAAATACATATATGTATATATAT